CCCAGAAGGAGCTGTGTACAATCCTTCTAGCAGGTATAAATCATTTCCCCGTGCTGACCATTCACTCCTTCTACACAATAATCCAACCAAGTCTAACCTAAACCGACAGAGAAGGGATTCACTTTCCCATCTCCGGCTCATACAATGTTTTTACAAGACATACAAGAACAGTGTATTATTTAAACAAATATAAACTTCTCACAAACTTCTTATTTATCTTGCAGCAGCTGCCTCTCACTCACACAGCGGCAGCGGCGTCTCACTCACACCCTGCCCCTGCAGGCAGGGCACGAAGGCACACAGACACACAGCAGCAGCTGCTCTCACTCACGCAGCGGCACACAGACACTTAAAGGGCCCATCACACTTTTCACTCATACCACAAAATATACCGAGTTTAAACAATCACCAAATCCGTTTGTAACATATATCATAAACCATTAACAATTAGCAGTCAGTTCAAAGCCAGTATATCCACCATTAGTGCACTATACAATGACCTGAAGCAAAATCCTGCAGGTGACGGTAAATTCCAGTACCCTGCCCAAAATGCAAACTGCCTCTTATATACCAGTCATCGGTAGTTTGCTCCAAAAGATCTTACTTTCCCGCGGATTCCCAAAGCCAAAACCAAATGGGTATACCCCCTCCTCGGGACTGAGCCGTGCGCCAGACGTCTCTGTGCGTCTTACCATCAGCCCATTACCCTTGTAAACATACCTCTGTCCGCAAACCAGATGGTCCTTGTCTGCTCCCGCAGTGGACAGCTGGGAGCGGAGTTCCTCTGAGAAGAGCTCGGGGTGCACCTAGGAAGTCCACCCGTCAGCAGTCGATGGCAGTCGAGCAGAGGTGTCCCATCTGGGGTGCCAAGATGTTTTGCGGAGAAATCACTCCATAACTTTTGGGGTTATAAAGTGGGTATGTTTATTCAGCTCTGGGCGCATGAGGGATCGCTCCACCACAAGCATGCGCGCCGTCTGCAGCTCTCGTCCGGCTTATATGTTATAAAATAGTGCATATTCATAGAACGCCTATACATATACATAGTCTACCCCCGCCTCCCCTTGCTTCTCATGGTAATCAGGTCTCCTCTTCTTCTTCGCTGATGAACTTTTCTCTTTGTCGCTCTGCGCAGCCTCAGTTGTTCTCTGGCTTTCTTCCAGGCCAATGTTTTGGGGTTGTCTGTTTTTCAAAGACTAGGAGGGACTTCTCTTTGGGCTAGGAGTTAATCGCCTAGCAACGTTATCAGTACTTGGTATGTCTTTTCGAACAGTCCCATACGCCTCCCCTTGTTTTTGCGCAGGCCTTGCACTATCAATCTAAGATTGTTTAGACTCCCTGTCTCAACCATCAGGGATTTTCTTTATTTGTGGAGATAGAGCATGGCCCATTATCCCTGCTCATATAAAGGGAGGCCCATGTAGCCTTGGTCGTCTTTCTGTTTTGACTCCTAATACATCTATGATTTTGCAGCATCGTTTATCCCACAGAGTGAAGTGCAGCACCCATGCATATACTTCTGATTGTGATGACAATGCAGAATTTTGGTCCTTGGGTCAACGCTTTGCTGCTTCTTTTCTGCTACCAGGAGCCGCTGCTGGAAAAGCATTAGCAACATTAGATAAGCTTGGCTGCTGGCTTGCTAAACAAACAAATGCCACTAGCAAAGCTTTGTCTGGTCTTTTGTTAGATGTAAATAGTATCCTCCATGCTACATTACAAAATAGAGTTGCTATAGATTTTTTGCTTTTAGCACAAGGCCATGGCTGTGAATATTTTGAAGGCTTGTGTTGCATGAATCTCTCTGACCACTCGGAATCGATTCATCCCAGTATCCAACAGCTTAAAAAAGGAGTTTCTAAACTCCAAAAAGATGATAGTTGGGATTGGTTAGACAAGCTTTTTGGAGGATGGGGGCTATCAGGATGGCTTAGAAGCTTAGTAAAGACTATTGTTTATGCTTTAGCTGTTTTTATTCTCATTGCTTTTTTTGCCTTGTTTGTTACAATGTTTGCAACAATTGATGGAACGCTCTATGAAAAATATTCTTTTTGTAAAACAGGAAGGGGGAGAGGTGGGAAAGGACTTGAAAGAATCAGACAGGACCATGCACCCTGCTTCACTGTTGTTGTTAGAAGGGGATGTACTGGAACTTGTAGGCCATAAGCCTTGGGCAGCCTGATAAGGGGAATAAAGAAGTGCAGATGTGTGGGAGAATTATTGCCCCTATGAGTCATGCGATGCAGGAGACAAAGAAAAGAAGAAAGTCTCTGAAAAACAACTTAGTGTCTGCAAAAACAACTCAGTCATAAACAGTCCTGTTGTCAGAGTTTAATTAACTACCAATCAACGAGCATTGATAAAGAATGTTGAAGTATAGCAGCCAATCAATGTAAAACGTGTGTCGTCTGATTTTTTTCTAATTTTCTATATAAATGAATGTTTTCTGTAATAAAGTATCTCTCTGACTCTGCTTGCATCACGCTTGTGTCCCATCTCTCAATCGCGGCAGGAGACATAATGACAGTCATGCAAAATGCTGAGGAAATCACTGCTCTACTTTATGTTGTTTCTTCTTGGGAACAACTGCCCTCAGGATTCCCTGGTACCCAAATGTTATAGATATACATGAATACCAATATATATTATAGAAGTATATATCAACGTATTTAATGTATACAAATACCTGAGGGGAGGATGTAGAGAGGATGGAGCCAGGCTCTTTCCAGTGGTGCCTAGTCACAGGACCGGAGACAATGGGCACAAACTGAAACACAGGAGGTTCCCTCTGAACATCAGGAACCCCTTTCTCACTGTAAGGGTGAACGAGCACTGGCACAGGTTGCCCAGGGAGACTGTAGAGTCGCCATCCATGCAGCCATTCAAAAGCCAGCTGGATATGGTTCTGGTCAACTGGCTCTCTTTGAGCAGTGGGGTTGGAGTAGGTGACCCCCCAGAGGTCCTTTCCAACCTCAACCATTGTGTGATTTGGTGAAATTTTCTAGTAGTATCTGTGGTAGTAAAGTTTGAGTCACAGTGGAGGCTGATGCAGCTGAGAAGTGTTGATGCCAGCTGGACACATACCATAGACCTGAGGGGATTCACCCCAGGTTGCTAGGGGAGATGGTTGGTATCTCTGCAAGGCTGCTCTTGATCATCTTCAACATGTGCAATAGGTTGACTCTGGCCAGCAGCCAAGAATCCACACAGCTGCTTGCTCACACTCCTGCAGTGACAGAGAGGAAGACAAGAGGAAAAACAGAGGTGAAGAAAACTCTCGGGTTGAGATAAAAACTTTAATAGGTGAAGGAAAGTGGAAAAACATCCAAGTGATACAAAAAGAATCACTCACCACCTCCCACAATAAGAATGATGTCCAGCTAGTCTCTGAGCAACAGACAGCCTGGAAGACAACACCCACTCACCCCAAGTTGCTACTTTCTCTGCCCTAGTTTTTATTGCTGAGCCTGACACCATGTGGTATGCATTATCCCTTTGGCTAGTTCGGGTCAACTGTCATGACTCTGTCTCCCATTTTCTTGCCCCACACCAGCCAACTTGCTGGGTAGGCAGAGTGTGAAAAAGAGAAAGCCTGAACATTGTGCAAGCACTGTTCAGCAGTAGACAAAACATGGGTGTTTATCAATGATGTTTTAGTCACACACCCAGAGCATAGCACCCTGGCTCCTATGAGGAAAATTAATTCTGTCTCAGCCAGACTCAGTACACTGTCTTCCCTTGTCAGCAAGGGAAGCTTGAGATACAAAGCTTGAGAAACAGAGAGGTCAAGGAAACCCTGACGAGTATTCTTTGATGAATCCTCTATGTGCTTAATGTTATACAAAGGAATAAATCTCACAGAAGGCTCACACTAAAAATATTATTCTAGGCTACCATATACAACCCATTGGAGTCTACCCAGGGGAAATGTGGTTTTAGATCCTTTTTACAGAAGGATGCATGAGAAAGTTAATAGTAATTCCTACTGGAACATTCTTGCCTCTAAATTGGAGATATGGATTTGATGGATGGACTATTAGATGGATAAGGAACTGGCTGTAGGGTCACATCCAAAAAGTGACAGCTAATGACTCAATGTCCAAAGGTCCATACTGGGACAAATACTAGTTAATGTCTTCATAAATGACATAGATAGTTGATTGAGTGCGACCACAAGGTTGCAGACAACACCAAGATGAGTAGTTGAGTTTTCCCAATGCTATAGGGAAAGGATGCCATCCAGAGGAACCTTGACAGGCTTGAGAAATGGGCCAATGTGAACTTCATGAAGGTCAACAACTTGGGTTGGTTCAGTCTCCAGTATCAGTCCAGACCAGTGGATGAATGGAATGAAAGCAGCCCTGTGAAGAAGGACTTAGGGATACTGGTGGAAGAAAAATTGGATATGAGCCAGCAATGTGCACTTGCAGCCCAGAAAGTCAGTTGCATCCTGGGCTGCTGAAGAAGAAGCATGGCCAGCAGGTTGAGGAAGATGATTTTGCCCTTCTATTCTGTTCTTATGGGACCCCACTTGTAGTGCTGCATCCAGTTCTGGTGCCCCCACTAAAAGAAAGATATGGACCTGTTAGAGTGGATCCAGAGGAGGTCCATGAAAATGACCTGAGGACTGAAACACCCCTCTTATGAAGAAAGTCTGAGAGA